GGGGGGGGGGGGGGGCTAAAAGCTCCTCACCGAAAAAAAAAACAGCACATGTTACGAAATGTTTCGGGCTTGAATGGATAACACAATAATAAAGCTTTCGGTGCCATAAAGGCAGGGAGAAAGTCTTGGCTAGCTGTTCGTGTGGTTTTATACTCGGCAGTCAATGAATGACCCGCCTATTTCATGTCCTCTGTGCAGGCGGTATGCAGTTCCCCACTCCGACGTGCAACAACCTGCGCCAAGAGGGAGACCACTGCCGCTCGAATAACAAACCCTTCAACACCAACGGAACAAAGCCCGACGGCTCATTCTGGTACAAAGCCACCAATGTTTATGATATCATATGCCCGTGTGCACCAGGACTCGAGTGCCGGGAAGGATTATGCGGAAAGAGGAATTAGAACGGGGTCCAGGTGAACGCCTATCAACTGTCAAAAGCGAAAACCCTGGATCGCTAAAATTAGAAACGGTTGCTAATAATGTCTGGGTTGGGTTGGGTTAGGTTAGGTTAAATTAGCTTTGGCTTTTCTTACTGCTGTGATAAACATTCAGTATATGAACAATCAATAATACAAAGAGGTCAGTTGGTAGATTCGGTATTACTAAATTTACTTTCTACGTAACTTTGCTTAAAGATCTGAATTAGGTGATATCTAACATATTGTGATTGCTCGTCTGATATATATTACCAGGCTAATACTGTTGATTCATATGAACAGATGATGACAGAAAACGTCGTTAAATTTACTGATCGAATGAAGGAAACTATCTCTCACTCGGAGGAACGATGCAAGTTTAAGCTATCTGAAAGCAAGTCATTATGCAGTTTTCTCCAGACCCCATCGTCTTCTCTCCTAGGCCCAAATATCCTCCTCAACACCCTGTTCTCAAACACCTGCAATCTATGTTCCGCCCTCTGAGTGAGAGACCATGTTTCGCACCCATACAAAACAACAGGCAGAATTATTGTTTTGTATACTTTAATTTTCAGGTTCTTAGAAATCAGACGGGAAGACAAAATGTTTTAAACTGAGAAGTAGCAAGCATTTCCGGAATTTAGTATCCTCCTAACTTCCTCATGAATATCATTTTGATTTGTTATTGTTGTTCCCAAATATTTGAATTTTGTAACACTTTCAAAGGATTTATTAGCCACCCTACGATAATCCTGCCCTCCTGTCTGCTGAAGAGATACTAACATGTACTTAGTTTTCTTCTGAATTTACTTCTAGCCTCTAGTAAAAGTTCTGTGTTCCTCTTTATTGTATGTATGTCGTCACTTAATAAATTAACATCATCAGCATATGCCAATAACTGTGTCCTATTCAATTGCAAACCCTTCTGCTTATCTTGGACTTTCCTGATGGCGTATTCTAGCGCAAAGTTAAAGAGCAAGGGAGACAAAGCATCCCCTTGTTTTAGACCGTTCTTGATGTAAAATGAAACAGATAAATATTTACCTATACGAATATTACTACAGGTTTCATTTAAGTACATTTTTATTAGACTCACTAGCTTATTTGGTATATCAAATTCAATAAAAATATTATATAGAACTTCTCTCTTCACAGAGTCATAGGCTTTTTTGAAATCTATAAATAATTGATATACGGTCCCACTGAACTCCCAGTTTTTTTTCTGGTATCTGATGAATGCAAAAAATCTGATCAATTATTGATCTGTTTCGTCTGAACCCACACTGATGATCCCCAATAATTGCATTCGCATATGGGGTTAATCTTGTCAAAAGAATGTTTGATAGAATTTTGTATGAGGTTGATAGCAGAGAAATTCCTCGGTAATTACCACACTCAGTCTTGTCCCCCTTCTTATGAATAGGAATAATTATGGATTCCTTCCATAGTTGTGGCATCTCTTCCTTATTCCAAATTAACAGTATAAGCTTATGGATCTTCATATGCAACCCTTGCCACCCACTTTAATTAATTCTGCTTGAATTTGATCAATACCTGGAAATTTAAAACTTTTCAACTTCCCAATGGCTGACGAACAGTCATATAAAGGGGAATCTTAAGGAAGTCTTATGTGAGAATATGAACTGGAAATGATCGAATGGCAGTGATAAATCTTCTGGCTTTAACAATTCCTGAAACTCTTAAATAAACTGCACGGTTCTGAAGTTGTATTGTCCATGAGTCAGTGTGTTAATGAATACGTTTGTCTTCAAGTGTCTGTTGACTGACTTTCGTATACTAACAGTGACAGTTCAGAATATTCTACGTATTTACTAATGTAATTAGTAATCACATAAAAACAAGATTTTCATTTGTTAACAACGGGATATGTCACTCGTGAGTATGATCAAGAGAGGCGGAAATAACGACAAAATATTTATGAACCCAGCACAGACGTCATCAAACACCAAAGGAACACGTGGGCTAGACACACTAAGTTATATGAATGTACTGCACAAACTATGTCAACTATGTGAATGTGCTTAAGGCTATGCAAATTCTTATAAACCAAAGTTAAAAATGTATTTAGTTTTCTTTTATTTTCTCTACTTCTTGTGCCCTCTACTGATTATACATAATCTATCACAGTTTTATAATTATATTATAATTATTTTATTGGTATCTACCCACAAGTCCATACGCCATCTCACTAACTAGAAAACCAATATAGACATTTTCTCTGTCTTTCAAATCTTATAATCCTAATTAATTATTTTTCTTCCATGTTCTGGATAATACTTATTATACTCATAACAATTACGATAAAGGGTATTCCAGCTTCCTCTACAGAAGTAATTCCTCTTTTCCCAAAAGGTAATTGGTTATTTTCTGTTTCATCTTCTATCGACGCTACATAATTTTCGCTCTTCATACATCGTCGTAAAATAACCAAATAAAAGGCCTTTTTAATTAGAACATCACTCACGAAAGTTTGGCAGTGTGGGCCTTTAACGAGAAAGGTTGAGTATTCCTGTTCTATAAGACATAATCCGCCATTCGTATTTAGACGTTTCTAAAGTTGTCCTGAGTTTTCGCCCATCTGAGATAGACATGAAATTGTGGGAATAACTTTATAAATTGTGAGATTTGAGGTTCTCACGGCGGCGAATATGAAGACGGCTGTCTTCTGGGTTGTAGCGCAATGTTCTCTGGTAACACAGAAGACAGCCATCTTCAACTTTTTAAACTGCATATTTAATGGATAAAACATTTACATGGTTAATATAATGTTACTGTTCATGCTACTGGGTTTTAAGTCGATCGATTTTAATTTCATGATATTCGATTAAGCTTCTATATTCAGATTTATAAAAAGTTTGCCATTGAGTTCAAAACATATTTCGAGGATACACAGACGCACATACAAACGTCTTTATTAACATTACAATTCACTCGGTAGGCATTAGAAAGTAAAAAAACCGAATGAGAGAAGCAGGTCAAATCTCTTCAGAAATGTAAGTTGTGTCCTTCTTCATCTCGTAGAGAACACCGTCAACAGACCTCAACACTGAACAATATTCGCCGATGACATAATAAGACGAAGACCTTGGCTGTCCCCCATGTGGAAGTGTTTTAAAAAGACGTGGAGTGTCAGTGAGATGAACAGTGCAGTCTGGATCGTGCGTCGTCAGCCCAAGGTAGGTACTGGACGAGCAGAGAAAGTCTGTCTTCACTGGGAGGACTAAAAGGACAAACCAAGAAAGTGCAACTTGTGTTACGGAGCTACAGATCCTCGTTTGACGTTTACCCCGTGGTTTCCTCAGACGTATTCGGCAACTCAGCCTCTGAATATTATTTCGTCCTTGAATAAGCAACTTTACAGCATATTTAATAATCTTTCCAAATCACTCTAGAGTGATTTGTTATTTGAGCATACGAAGTCTTATCAGGTTATGTTGCCTCCTGATGAACGTTTTAACAGTATTAGTACTGACAATTAAATTATTCTGTTTATTCATTAAACTTCTCTTAAACTTGTTTGGCCTTTGAATGCGTTTCATATTGGGTAATAATAAAACTAGCTTCGTATAAATTAAACACGTGTGTTACAGCTTCAAAATTACATACCGGTTGTGCTTTGTTGTTATTTATTCTAACTAAACTATAATTTTATCTCGTATATATGCCACTTGTTTAAGGACGTAAGAGGGGTAAGGGGAGAACGACAAAAATTGCGTAACGAAAAACTTCATAATTTGCACTAGTCGCATAATATTTTTAGAGTGATTAAGTAAATTTGAATGAAGTGGTCGGGATATATAGCACACTTTGGGGAAATGAGAAAAATGCTATTGTTTAGAAACAAGTTTATGTGGGAACTTTAGGCATAGATGGGAGGTTAATATCAAAACGGATCTTCGATAAACAGTGTGAAGGCGAGCAACTTATGTGTTCTATATGACTTTATTTGTGCTGTCACAAGGCAAAGATTTTCTCAGTTGTATATTAATTGACTGACTTCCAGATGCGACAGATGATGGTTCTTCTTCTGGCAGCGCTGTGCGCCGTCGTGTTGCCTTCTAGGGCGTCTGCTGAGGCCCCACCTGCAGCGTGTAGGAACAGCTCTGAATGTGGGCCGAACAGATGCTGTTTGCTGGGTGAGTGAACCCCGTAATGTCCTCTGACCGAACACAATGTCTCACAAAACCGTCTCTCGGAAAAACTGACTTATCGCCCTGATGACGGAGGCAGTACGACCTCTGAAACGTTGGTAAACATCGACCATACTACACAGCGCAACAACCCAGAAGACAGAAATCTTCATACTCACCGCTGTGAAAACCTCAAATCTTACATCTTTAGCGCCATTAAGGACCTCAAGTTTACGTTACTTCTTCCTGATTTCTTTGATCAGAACGAGACTCAGCGAAAACGCAGTACTAGGATTTTCAGCGGACAAAGACAGTAAAGTTTATCGCACTAAAGAATGGTTGTACTGAAAGAACGGGTTAGATACCAGCAGCAGTAGAGGTTAGGTACAATGGTCGTAGGTCACGGAGCAGTTGAACCCTGCTGATGAAAAATGACAAACTAACTAACTAACTAAGTAACTAGTTAAATAATTCCATGGGTAAGACTCCGTTGAGAAATAAACACTACGCTCAGCTAGTCAAGAAATTCGCCGCCTTTTATGGACGCGGAAGGTTCATTATCCTGCTTACAACGGACCGCCACTGGTCCCTAACCTAACCAGAAGAATCCAGTCCACTTCGTCTAACTTTATCCTCTGAGGTTCATTTTAATATTATCTTCCCATTAACGCCACGTTCCAAATTGTTAGCCGGGCTAACGCTGTTAACACGAACGCTCCACCCGCACTTCCTCTCTTTTAAAGTCTAAATAATCAATAATATGCTAATTTTGTAATGTTCGTGTTTGTGAAAAGTCCATGTGCGAGTACACATGATAATTATAATTAATGCAATAAATCTTTTGATGGCAGGAAGATACAGCGGTTCCGAACCATCATGTCAAACAGCGCCACAGGAAAACGGCATTTGTCGGCCACATCAGGAAGCTTCCAATTCCACTGTATATGGATCTGATGGGAAGCTGAAGTACACTGTAACCAACGTGTACCTTGATGTCTGTCCGTGTGGAGAGGGTCTCTTTTGCGACCCTAACAGCGGTGGCGTCTGCAAACAGAGTACATAATCCGGCCGTCTCTTGATAACGCTTTCAACGTCAAGACGGCATTCGCCTGCTCATTCACAGATGGCGCGAAAGCTTTTAAACTGACTCGCGAGCTAGGTCTAAAATGGAAGTAAAACTTTTCCTTTCCGTACACAAGCAACTGAGAAATATGTATTGTTTAAATCTGGCTAATACCTGTCATAAAATGTGCAAGTTTAATAAAGAACTGCGATAAAGACCTGTATAAGGAACTATAGCTTACTGTGCATAATTCAACACCAAATTATAGCCTCTTTGCGCTGTATATTCTAACAGAAGTTCACCGATTTTTAAAGGCCTTGATTATTCCATCATCATCTCCCTGACGATGAAGGCAGCAACGACCTCTAAAACGTCGGTAGAATTCTACCTCACAATACCACACGGTGCAACATACCAGAATAAAACCTTCCTCGACAAACCTATCATGTTTCCCTTTCAGTAAGTTTTCTACCCTACAGCCTACTTTACGTGTTCTCAACTGAGGATACAGAATATAATTGCACAAGTCCTTATATCCTTCCTGATAGTAAATATGGCAGGAATTTTTAATTAAACGTTTCACTTATGTAATTCCGTGTCTGATTTTCGACACCAAAATTCAATGTGAATTATATTTGGCACCTCTGACCTATAAGTTAAAATAAAAATTAATTTATATCCGTAAATACATACATATGTACTACCTCAAAAGAAAGTTCAAATGCCAAAATTTAATGAAAGTGTTACCATCAAGTCGGGAGGTAAATGGAACTACATATTTTGCTCGATCACTAAGAGCTTTTTCTATGTTTTGCGACAAGAAAGAAACTTTCGAGACATAGTCAAGATACTAACTTCTCCTACTTCGGAAGTACGCACGGCCACCATGTTAATATTACTGAGGACAGCATTTCGCGAAAGATTATTGTGGTTTCTACGTTGATTTTTATGTTGGTCCGCGCATTGAATTCAACATTCCACTGGCTTCGTAATTTCTGGAGGCATCCGAAACACACCAAGACCAGCGACTCTTAGCCAGTGGTCTACAAGTTGTGCTAAAGGGACTCTCGATTTGAATTGATTCTACATTTATTTCTTTAAAGCCTTTTCTCACCACATCATTTACTTTCACACGGAACCAGAAACAGGACAAAAAAAAATTCCCCTCCGATCTACATTTTAGTTAGTCCATATTCACTTTAATCAGAATTTATGACATAATTTTGGGAAGGGGGTCCACATCACCATAAATGTCGAGAAACACTGCCCCCCCCCCCAAAAAAAAAGAACAGTATTTGCGAAGTAAGCAATGCAAAACGACGCCTATGCTAATACATTCGGCGTATAGCATCAGCTGTGACCTGCGCCTTCCAATCATAGGCAACGCAGTCTTTGACTTTCCTTTTATCTTGAAACAGACGACTGCGATTTGAGACGCGGTCTGACTAAATGACCCACAACTCAGACATTACATAACCAATTCTATAAAATCTTAGTGATAAATGAATGTAAAATCAAACTACGTATTATGTCTAAAACAAAAAAGAGTTTTAATTAAATAAGCCTGACATTCGAATGGTTAGCATTCCTACACGGTATTTCGGAGATCCCGGACTCAATTATAGACACACAATATAATTATTCAGCAGGTCCTTTTGTTTGCCTCAGTGCTGACTGGCAGATACTGGGGTAATGCATTAAGCAGAGCCTAGATTTTACTCCCTAAATGGGACTGAAAGACGGTCAGATAATCGAAAATGTCGAATAATATGATAATATAGAAAAATAATTAAAAAAGAGAATAAATATCAACTCTATTAATGATATTCTATTACGAACAAAATACAATGCGACATCAAATGAAAAAAATCTCCTCTGTTCTGTAGAATTAGTTATTAATAAGATCTCTGAAAATTGTCCAAATTGAATATTTTCGTTCTTTAAGATGACATAACTGCACGCGTAAATTCAATTGTAATCATGCTATTATTAGGATCATACGTCATGTCACAAAGGTTACGATCATTCTGCGCATTATGTAGGATGATTTAATTGGAAGATTATTAATAACAGAGAAAAAGAAGAGTAGTCAATATCGCAATATGGGAAAATTCATTTTGTATCACTACTCATTATTTATTTCCAGTGACCTACACTGTAGGCTATGTAGAGCCCTAAGTATCCTGGGAATTTTCGTCACAATGAACCTATAACACGGACAGACAAGACAAGTGAAAGTCAAAGTCAAAGTGAAAGTCAAAAGCCCTGACAGTTCGAGGATCATACCCAGACGAATCGGGCTGCTGACAAGTTTATTACATTCATCTATTTGACAGAATATAAGGCGCACTTCTTTTCCACAAACATCTCCCGAAAAATAATTTCTGTGTGTGAGTAACACACATAAGATGAACTTCTAAAGCATATGTAAATTTAATGTAAATTAATTTTCAGTTTGCCACTGAACGGGAATAGAATTCATCAGTGTTGAGGCCCCCTGTTTGGGGACTTCGTTTCCAGGAAACATAAAAATTGCGTGGAGTGTATTTGTACATTTTCTGTCTATAAGTAGTCCTCAGGCCACCTAAAAAGATGACGTTTGCTTTAAAATTCCTGGAATACATTTTATTTTATGTAGAAAATTTAAAACTTATTGTGTGCTCTGTTTACATTGTGATGTACAATAAAAACTTGGTTTTCGTATTTCATTTTTCAAATTTAAATCTGAAAAATAAACTAAAAACAAAGAATTATTCGAAGATCTTGATACGATTGTTCAGTTAAACTTGAATCCAGAACACCTGAATACGAGAAAATTAAGTAGCTTTTGAATATCCAGTGCCAGCTCAGCGAATTTCAAGATAATTTTTCTGTAGATATATTGAAATTTCTGCTTACATGTGTGAGTTTTATTTCACCATTAAATTGTAAGCGATTAAGTACTTTCTTCACAGGTGATAATGTGTAAACAATGAAACAGTGGCAACATTAATAAATGTTTCTAAAACCCGTCACGCACTCTCGAGATAGTTCACTTGTAAACATAAAATATGCACGTCATCTTCCAATGCACTAAAGGAGTTCATTTACATACAGACATGACACTATTTCGTACTATAATGAACTAATTAACTCCCAGTCCATCAAGTAGAATCCTGCAAAATCTAATAGTACGTTCAGCTAATCCAGAAATTCCCTACCTTTATGGAACCCAAAAATTGCATTACCGTTTTCACAAGAGCTAGCCACGACGCCATATCCTGAGGCAGATGATCCAGCCCACACCATGCAGACATATTTCCCTAAGATCCTTTTTAATATTATAAACCCATCTATTCCGAGATCTTTCTTTCGGTCCCTTCCAGTAAAATCAAAATGTTATTTATCAGTTTACCCATACGCGCTACATGCCCCGCCCACCACCACCCAGTTCACAAAACTATAATCTGTGTTCTTCCATTAATGAGAGAGTCCAAGTTTCACATCCATACAAAACAGCAGACAAAGTAAGTTATGCTTTTTTTCCGTTTCAGACAGACTGGAATAAGGATTTTTTTCTGAACTGTGAGTGTAAATTAGGAGCGTCATATTTTGATCTACAATCTGTTCTACGAAAATCAAGAACAAACATGAATTGTTTCCAAGTAATATCCATATCTGCTCACGCAGAGAGCATTTGAATAAAAGAAACACAGTCCAGGCAGTGAACTTCTGTGACACTTGCAACAGCCAATTGACCCTGATCTGCAGTGCTTTATCAGGCGACGGCCGCTGGCGAAAGATTTACAATTTCGTTTGGTAAAAGAATAGTTACATGTCCAAGGAACTACGTAAGTTTTGAATCAGTGTCCTTTCATACGTCATTCTCTTTGAAGAGACATACGCGTTTGCTCCCATGAGGGTCGCCTTTGAATCACGTGGCCATATACTTGCGTAATGCGAGAGACGCCACTGGGTCACAGGCCGTTTCATGGAAACGCCAGTCAGTCGTCGCATGCTATTAGGCGCGCGCAAACTGAAATGAGAGGATTCGAAAACAATTTCCATCCTCATCATCACGACACAACCCAGAAGACCACTCTACCAACTTAAAACATCAAAACACAAAAAGAAAATCTTTACTCTTGTTACTTGAATGATAGAAACAAGAATAATTTCGAAGTATACAGAGACACGTGTCAAGCAATCTTTATAAATTAATCGTTCTTAAAATAAGTGCAGTGCTTTGCAGTTAAAAACTTACCATCAACAAAATTTTAACACAATTAATAAAACTGGAGTTGTAGGCTTATATTAATTTATAGATTTCTACTATTCTTCTGATTAAAAGTGATGATGGTAGCGATCAGAATCTTACAGTGTTCATTCGTAAATCCATTTTCTTTTCCCAACCGCAGCTTTAAACAAAGGGGTATCCGTCAACATGTAACATAAACTCAAGAAGACGAGGATATTACTAGAATAATCGTATTTTGGACGACTCGTTTAGACACTGGCCCCTTTTGAAGTGATTAAATAGCCTACAAGACGCACTAATGTATACTAGGCTTACGCACAGCTTTATTATACGTCGCAACCAGATAACAGTTGACAACACCAGTTCAATGCTCGTAATCATCGAAGGAATGACACGACAATGAGAAAAGTATAAATAAACAGTCTTCTCCTAGAAAAGACGTTCTGCAGTGAGAACCATAGACTTCAATCCTACTACATACTGAACGCTGACGTATGAAAGAAGGAAGAAATAACGACAGAGATGAAGAAAAGATAGAAGAAACGAAAAAGAAACACAAAATTTTGTTTTAAATCAATGTTCATATACCAAAATATAAACCGTAGTCCCTGTGTTTATAATGTCAATATCGTCATCGCACGAACAGTTAGATATGATTTTTTAATAGTGGCCATGTTGTTATTTTAAATTTGAGAAAATTCTCATCAAAAACTGCACAGTGCTGAATGTTATACTTATTATCACACCAAATTTCAGTACCCTATATTAATTGCATCGAATATCAATTCCACTCGAAAAGTTCACATAATTACCACGTCATTGCTCGTGGTATAAAAAAAACCAAGGTATGATAATCCCTAACGGCATGATATTTCTACCAAGTTTCATATAAATTAGTCAGCTGGTTCAAAATAATTGAGAGACACAGACACAGAGAACACCCAATTTAGCAAATTCGGTTTCGTTATGAAACAAGGTAAATAGCTCCACGTCGTCTTTTGCGTGTATGTATCCATGGTAACTTAAATATAATTTTGAACTGTGAAACGACTCGCTTGCATAGCAACAGATGACATGAAAAATGTTTTTCCACAAATTCTGTTGAATATTAAAGTAATTCCGAGATATTTCGTTCATAGCATGGAAGGGTTTAATCAAGGCAGCTGAAAGCAGACAGGAACAATCTGACTCACCCTGGTCATAAGAGTTTTCACTTACATCAGAAGATAGTCCGATGATCGCATTTTGAACTCTTACCGACATGTCGCAGGACTTCTTGTGAATTCAAGCATAACCGATGTTGGAACGTGGATTAATAGGCTTTTCCCCTTCTTTCGTTCTGCACTGTTATAAATCAACTGAACTTGGGACGAAGCGTCACATTACGATTTCTGCCTTCATCGCCCTGCCACAGTCTACCCTATTTCAAGACGTCAAGCAACACTTTGAGTTACTTCGTTCTGAGCATTGGAATTCACAGACAAGGTAAACCGCTACATGTTTTAAGAAGCAAACGTTTTCATGTGATTTAACCCTTTAAAGCCGAACGGTAACGAAATGTACCTTTAACAATTACTAAAGCTGTTTTTTGAATAGATGGGTTTCAGTAAACCGCGATTATTTACTTAAACAGCATTAGCCACCTTATCTTTGTAACGATGAAGTGTAGTGGTTTTGTTTGAGAAACAGACTGAATAATTAAATGTTATTTAGACGAGCTAAATCTTCAAAGGTTACAGAAACATTGCTTTCAATGGAAGAATATTCTCTCATAACTGAAACTAATCAAATTAATTTATTCAAAAACGTAATTATCTCAAACATCGTATATTTATAAATTGTACTACCAGGAAATATGATTGGTTGGAAGCTAATTTTACAGAATATTGCAAAATGTGTTTCGATTCAAACAGTGTAAGGCTTAAATTATTCTGACATATTCCTTGCAGTATTTTGTTTATACGTATTCACGACAACTTAGATATAATATAGACAGTGAAATAACTCAATTGTACAACAGATGACAAGAGAAAAATCAATTTCGTAAGAGATAAGAAATACTGTGTAATAATAAAATTTATTAGCATCAGTGTCAAGATAATACCATATCCCTGTCATCAGGACGTGACAAAACGCAGGAGTGAATATGGAGCAGCTGAAAGCAACGTGTGCAATTGTTCTGGTGTTGGGATTCAGCGTGTCAGTGTTGGAGGGCGCTAGAATGCGCTGCGAAGACAATTCTGAGTGTCCGGAGGACCATTGCTGTTTGACAGGTGAGTGACCACGTTCAAACCACGAGTGACAAACCCTGTGAGTTGTCCCTTGTCGCCTGCTGCTTTCTTAATATTTTGAAACTATCCGGCCGTGAAAATCTGTAACCCAAAACTTAGTATCCCCTCAAATTTTAAAAAGCCGCTGTCCATTTCCTAAAGGACAGTAATAAAAAATAAAACCGAGTTATCTTGGAGAAAGTCTTAGACCTCTCTTGAGACCTGTCGACAAAAAATTTTCCAGCGTCTAACCTAGGACGTTCCATCTGCTGTATTAACCTTTTCGGCTGGATTGATCGTAAATCAGTAAATATTTAACTAACGGCGGTCTTATGAGCGGAGGAACAAATATCGGTTATAAAATAATATATCAGATTTATTTAATATTTTTCGTTCCCTCTTTCTTTCTGTTTATCTTTCTGCCTTAAACTAGGCTACGACCACTTATTTCCACGTCTTTTTAAATTCATTATTTGTCAATAATTCTGTGCTAAGATAATCTAAATTATTCATACCGCAGTTAACTGAACCACAAATAAACATCGGGAAAATGTTTCCGGTTTTCAGTTGGAGAAGATTTGATGTGCACGAAACTACAAACATTGGGTCAGTTCTGCCAACCTGTCGGAGAACATGACGCCAATAACAATCAAGATGATCATGTGAGTACGTACACAGGAAACTGTCCTTGTGGGCAAGGCCTCGTCTGCATTGACGCCGTTTCCAGCACCAGTGAGGAGGACGACAGCAGCGCCAACTCCGGAGGACTCGGAGTGTGCCAAAACACGGAACCAGAAAAAGACGACGACCAACCAGCGGAATGAAGTGACATTATAGTTTCGTTGGGTAATAGACAGGAATACATAACAGAGGAATGTCATGATAGATGAACAAGAATTAGGCAGATACCAATAATTTAAACTGCTATAGAAGTCTGGATAAAACGTTTCCTACTGAAAATTCTAGTTGAAAATTTAAAAAAAGTTATGATGAAAGATAGACCGTTATTTGCTGGCTAATGGACAACAACATGGCTGTCGTTTTTATCAACCACTCTCTTGACATACTAATTGATTTTGTCAACACTTATCATAAAATTAATTCAGAAATTTCAAGGTAAATTATCAAATAGACTATTAAGTTCTATAAATTTATAAGTCTCATCTTGTTCAATCATTAAACCACCTGGACTTCTACCTGTCAAAACTTCACAGCCGTGAAAATAACCAACATCATTCGAACAGCAAGACGTCAAATTGTGACACTGGGTTTAGAATTTGATTAAAAATCTTTATCACAACAACACAATTAATTGGCCAACTACAAAATAGGCATTCCGTGTCAACAGATCTTTACACATTCAGCTAGAATTTAAAATCACTCAGTCTTTATAATTACTGACAGTAAAATCAACTTCGTAGACCAACAGAATGACTTGAAATGTAAACACGTGACCATAAAGAGCTTGTATTATGCTTATAAAGTCTACCTTCCTAATGTAGACTTTTATTATTTCATATCAAGGGCATTGTGCCAGAAGGGCGTATCAACAAAATGGTTGATTTACAGAAAACCAAATTCTTACGATTGTCTGGTTTGAATAATGTGCATTATTATTGTTCGTACGCCCAAATGTAATTGCCTGTATTTCTGTGTACAACAGCGTCAGGATTATGTCCTTTTGGCATTACATACATCCCACTATTTTATGTTGTTAGGCAAATATGTCGGTTGTTACAACCTCCTGGCATCATGCCCTCGATGTCTTACATTGCTCACACAGTAAAATGTTTAGGTAGTGTGTTGGCGTGCTGGATTTATATGCAGATGGTCGTAAGATTGAATCCTACTCGAATCAGAATTCTTTCGTGTTTGTAATTGTTTACTTCTAAACACTATTTCATACATTATTTATTTTATTTAGTGTTCTGTCTGACGACAGGTCCATATGAACAGGATCCTTCCATCCTTTTCTCGGACTGGGACCTGTTCATATACGTTCTTGGCAGATGATCCAGAAGTGGTTTTCCATTGCCTTCTTCTGTGTGTGAATGGAGTAATTGTTGGGATGCCACGGAGGAAAACTCCATGTTGCCTAGACCACGGCCTTGCCCAACACAAGTTATAAATTCGGGCACCGCCGGGAATCGAACCCGAGACCCCAGGATTACATACTTTGTAGGAATGTTTATAATGTATCTGCGTACAAAAATCCATGGTCCTCTACAAACAGCCTTTCTACTTTAAAAGCAAGCGACCAATGCACGCTTTTGTAATAAAATTACAACTGCGCATAACAAAGAAATAATTATAACCTTCATAAAATACACAAACATATTTTTATGAATAATTAGTAAAAATAATAAATTAACAAATCTCTTTAAGAAGATGGGAGGATAATATGAAAATGGATCACAGGGAAACAGAGTTTGGCGATGTTAACTGCATTCATCTTTTTTATGGCGGGCTCTTGGAACCACTTTCTTAAATCTTCGGGGTTTATAAAAGACAGGAAATTTCTTGACCAGATAAGCAAGAAGGACCCTGATCCATGGAGTTTATTACCTGAGTAAGCTACTAGGTTTGTCATAAACTTTTAATTATGATTTGTAATTCGGTAGCCTGCGAGTCGGTAATGTAATTCTTTAAAAGGTTGCGAATCCCTGGTCTAAGCACACTTCAGAAATCTCTCTGCTTATCTCAAAGTCTCTTTCCTAATATCCAGTCTCCATTATTTTAAAATTCGCCTACATCCAACTTTGGATACGCTGTTGACTGTATCCTAATTACTTTCGCGTGTTCACAGAACAGGTGGATTCACGAGACCCCTCAAATGTGAGGCCTTAAGCTGCAGTTTATTTAAGGCATTGGTAAACGTGAAATCAGTTAGAAGCGTTTCGTAGCAATACTAATTTGTGGTTTACATACTGTATGGAAAAGACTAATCACATAGCTGAAGCATTTTAAAATTAATAAGATTGATAAATGTGAACAAAAGCGGCCAGTTGTGACAACTTCATCTGCACAAGACGCGAGGTTCCTGGCGCTTTAGCTCAGCAATGACGTCAGTGGGTTTAAAACTGAGTGATGATGAATAGAATGTAATTAGCAAAAGTCACAGAAAATATATTTTGCAATTACAAATCTTTGACGAATATAGAAGCACTCACAACCCTCTCCTGGGAGATTAGCGCGATACTAAGAGAGATGTAATATCGACCGAACTGTTGGTATTTTGTAATGGTTGCCAAATTACTGTCTTGGAGAGCCATCTGTAGTTGTTCTGAGAAACTAATCGACGTTTATATTGACTTAAGCCCTTTTTGTTGAGTATTACCAGATGTGTAATTATGAAACGACACAATTAATACGTCTGATCACATGTTTACAAATACACAAGAGCAAAGCAAGAAAGCAAATTGCGAAGTTCTTGACAAATCCTCATTCAGATATTGAATAAACAATGGATTACAGTGGGACAGCACATACTTCAAGAAAGTGTGTGGTTCATATATTAAAGAAGTGATGTAAAACATTCTCATAGAATTTGACACGCCAAAAACTAATTGTACTGAGTAAAATCATAAAATGAAGGTGGATTATAAGTACTTTTAAAAAATGTGGCACAATTTAGATGCTTGAGGGCGGCAGTCAAGATTAGGCCTACGTCCGCATTCAAATAATTCGAAGAAGAACCTATCCCATCCCTACTCAGTCCGTCACAAATCCCACATACGCTGACCTGGATGTGAAACCGAACCTCCGTGGTGAAAAGCCGGTGACTAACCGCTTAAGCTATTGCGCGGCCAAAAAAAATAAGATGCTCGGATACGAAGGAGAAAGAGATTGTCGGAACACGTGGCTATTTCAGATGTTACGTCGCCTAGTAAAAGACAATCCAACTTGGCAACGACCTTGAGCTCAGTTGGATGTTATTTCTGTCAGTGCGTCGTCGAATCCCATGTTTCGGAAGAGTCGGTCGTGTAGTCAAAGAGGTTGTCAACAACTGATTTAAGGGGGCATTATAGGCTTCGTTTTGTTGTGCTGTGCTGATCTTCTCACGAAAACTGTATCGCATGTGAGTGCAAGAAGGGATGAACGTAAGACAACCCAGCTTGCAAGAAGATACAAGTTAACATTTTCTTCAAGCAGGCCTATGGAGAGGGGAAGATACATGGACAACTTAGTTACATTCGTTACCAGTCTCCGATATTCAGAGGTATAAACTTCATCGAACAGCATGCTCAGCGGCGATAAGCAAAAATATCATATAAAATATTTCTATAAAAGTAACAGCTACTGTCTTGCTTCTAACTGCAGCATGATATGTTTCAGTATTACATAAAATACTGATTTAAAGTCAGCTACATAGCCCATGAAAACTTGACAGAAAATGTTTTCACTGTAATTACCAAGCAGGCCAGCAATTGTTTCCTAATTCTGGCTTCATTTTAGTTATTAGTTTTAACATAAATGTTCTAACTAAATTACTTTGTCCCTGAATGCAAGGGTTACCAAAGTTCCAAACACATACAAAATTGTACGCGAAACTGTACTTACGTGTATTCTGTTGCCTTTAGGTTAACACATTCTGCCACTTTTAACATTCTTGAAGCCACTTCAATGCACGGTATTATTTCCTGTCTCTACTTCAGTATTTTTATTTAATCTTGTGCATTTCAATTTGACACCTGGAACTCAGATACACGCAATATAAACCACAGAGTATCTTTCTAACCTAAACAGCACAAGCCTACCTCGCCGACTTCCTACGAACGAACTTAATGTCTAGCGTCAACAAAATATATCAAACCACGTGCGGTTATTGGCCACTGACAGCGCTACAGTCTGCAATCTAGCAAGCAGTTATTCAGTTCTATGCCTCAGTATTTTCACATCCTTTTCACAGCGGTGTTCAATATTTATTTATTCAAATTTATTTCCAGTTGTGAATACGTAGATTTCATTTCTGGAAAATAACAAAGATCTACTCGCACAAGAATAATATCGAAGGAAATGTTGATATAACAAGTAATTTTCAATGGTAGGGTAATACCTACGCTGAACTTACTTGACGTCATTTTGAATTCTGGGAAAACATTAAAGTTGTTTTCTTGTTCCTGAAATTGTAAGGATACAGTCTTAAGGAAGCAAAACAAGAATACAACAAATAAGCCCTTTTTTTACAATTGATCTTTGGGTTTTATTGCCATAATGCAAAATATATTTGATTTACAAAGACTTTCGTGGAACAAAAATAATTACGAACAAAAAATTCTATATTTTATTAATAAAAGTATGCAATTGTGAGCAAAATAAGATAAGAGAAAGAAAATATATTCTTGTATTAGTCGCAGATCTTATTTTGTTAAATTTATATCATGAATTAAATTACTTAACTCCAAATATATTTTTTTATATAATTTCAGTCACATTCCAGGTTCTCTTTGTCTTATAATTCTCTCATACTCAAAAATTATTGGGCACATATGAGGTTTGATTAAATGCGTTTTCAAAAATATTTTAACCAGGCATTTCCCTTCATGACAGGAAAAATTTGACGAGAACAAATAATAATGTCTCTAAAATCAAATCCTTAAACGCATTAATAGGTGCAATAATACAATGAGACTAATACAGAGTGTGACAGAATTTCACACATTAATTAATTTATAATAAGTTATGAGTCCGAATAAATAATTGTACTATTTTATTATTGAAAGACAAAGTAATATGCTTCACATGTCCCTATTTGTATGTACTTCATAACTTTATTTCCGCCTCAAAAAAGAATATTCTATTTACACGTTTGTACTTCTCCATTTCCTTAGTTAGAGTAAATTCTGAAACACTCCTTCGTCTCTTTACTTTATGTTTACACATAATAGGTTCATGCTTTGTTTAAAAAATATCCATAAATTGTAATAATAAAACTGTATATTAATGTACATGTAACTTAGACAAATAACAGTCACAAGTTTACGCTTCATCAGGTATAATCGTTATATTTTACAGAAGCGTTTCGGTGTTTAACAGATAATCAATGATCCATAGCAATGTTGATATTTAAGTATGCATTTTTGTCTGCTAAACTATATTAAAATTCGGACTTGCAACAGCTGAAAATATAAACAGATTATGAATACTCAGAAGGTTAACAAACAGATTAATTATACTACTACACTGTTGTGAGACATATTTCAACATTAGTATGGGACACACGGTAATCCGTTGAAGTTCTTGAAAAAGTATAATAAAGGATGTTTCGTTAAATATGTGACTGCCAATAATAGCTACAAGGTATGAGAAATTACAAGATTATTAGAAACGTAACGCCATTCTTTTAATGTACTTCGAATTAATGTACAATTTTCGTAATTAAAATCTTTTTGTTGCATTTATTGGCGATATATTTGTGCTCTTTTTGTATTTCTTTTCATTCTGAATTCAACCGAATCTCGATTTTAACCCAGTTATTCTTAAGTTATTTTAAAGAACCAAACAATTACAATACAAATCACAGGACAGTCGTTATTTCTCATTCCTTTTGAATTGCACGGTTAATTTGTACTTAGAAGGCTATATGTTAGTAATAAGAGGAGGGAATTGTTATTTTCAATCAAAATAAAAAATCACATAAGTAATTTATATGAAGCACATTATCCAAAGAACGTGATTTTTTAACATCAAAGATAATAATTGAAAGGGTTCTCTTCAAACACACGTAACTCACACATTCCTACACATACACATTCATTATCAGCGTTCTTTATATTTTCCATACATAAAAAAACATTAGGCCATTTTATGATTGTGAAGTCAATGAAACTTGAAGGACGCTCTTTAAATTATACAAAATAAGAATATTACAATGAGATTTACAGCATGCATTCCTATAAATATTTCATAAATCATATCACCATGTGCAAAGAAACGATTTGTCGATACAGCTAATTTAAATTATAATATCCTTGCTCAAACAACACAAGCATTACATTATGTGGATAAAGATATTCTAATTAAGGGATTTCCAAATCGAGTGAACATCTTTGTCAATAAAGTCTATGTTTGCAGGACAGACTATAGAGATCACAATTTGTTTGAAAATGTAACTACCATAAAACAAATCTAAGCTGTTTATAGAAAGCAGTGGAATAATCAATCGGGGAAAATGCGATTTCCTGAAAAGTTTCCGTCATGTCCGTCGTAACTCAATTTACGTCGGTTAAGAATCGTAACCACTCAAAAAAATTGTGGTATAAAAATGTAATTTCACCACAGTACATATCAGATGCATTGATAGGTATTTCAGTTTTTGCATTTGTAATTCCTGAACGCCTTGATTGTTATGTTCAGCAAGACTTAAATGTTGAATAGGAATGTTAATGACATATTGCAGACTCTCGAGCCGGATTAAATTATATGCCCCATATTATCCGAAGGTCGTACTTTAGAAAGCCCTAATCCTATAAATCAGAAATATCTGCTGTTTTCCTCAATATATACTCATGTTATTTTATTATAGTATCACCAGTGTAAATAAATTTCTGACTTATTGACCTTAAAACAAGCTAAAACTTTTCAAAATTGTGTTATAAAAAATCTGTTTAGTAATATTTGTTTCATACATTCACAAAATAAATCGGTGTATTTTGTATCGAAATACAGATTTACGGGCCATGCCAGGCAAGTACAAGTAATTTTCTGTACGTCTAACTTTAAAACTTATTTTATTTGTTTAAATTTATGCCAGTGGATATACTTCAAAAATTAACTCAATGTATTTTATTTTTATAAATACATTTGCAGTTTCACAATGAGGCAATAACATCCTAATATTTGCCGTAATTATAAATATAATCCTCCGAATTTCATAATCCACTATATTCATAATAAATTAGAATATAACATTGGTTTAGAGATTATTAAAACAAATATGCAACCTCTTCAAGTCTAACAGGACATATCTTGACTGTAACCATTTTGCACAATTCCTCATGACTTCAGTTTTCATATGATTCACGATCTAAAACATTACATATAATTTCTATTTGTATAATTCCTATTATTAGAACGGATTTTAGTTCCTTATTAAAATTTCCTAAGCACTGATGAATTACTTATATGTACATACCTTAATTTATTTTAAAATAATTGACAAAAATGCTTATTTTCGCATGGCAGACTATTCTATGCTTTCATGACACAAAATATTCCTTCTTGTGCATCCCTAAATTCAACTGACCGGTTCTTATGTCATGAACAATAACCACGACAACTTACGCAAAGTTCAGTAACACATGCACCATAAAATAATCAAATTTATACATTACCAAGTATATACTGGATATATCTTTTATGTTTTTGTATATTTATGCTATGTATACGCACTAATAAATATATACAAACTATTGCCACAAAAGATGCGCGCTCAAGAACAAACACAAAGTTTCAATGAATTGTTCAGCGACATGCTAAATTTTAAGTTAGCTTTCCAGTATTCCACTATCTACTTAGCGTTAGTTGCGCTATTATCCCATACAATTGCCTTATCTACAGAGAGTGTCTCCAAATCTAAGCAGACGTGTAAAACTGCCTCAAAGCCTAATTTAATTCGTATATTAATTTAGAATTCACTCAGCCGGCTACTTAAAATCTTTGTTAATTATAAGATACGTTGAGTAATAAAATGAATATATTTTCATGTACCTGCTAAATTTAATATACCACGTATATATTTAAACTGGATGATATTTCTAAGTATACGTATTCTCTAATTTTCTTTCATAATTGAAATCGCTTGTTTTAAAACAAGAAATTTTATTCTTATTCAGTGTAGCATTTTAGCATCGCTTATTAAAAAGTCGTCAGATATTACCAACTTGTTCCTTCATTTTATAACCCCGTTTTGTTACACCATGGATACAAAACATAAATTGTATATTTACTTCGTTTCGTACAAGGTCACGTACTCTTCAAATGTTATTCAATTGTCGCATCGGAATACATTCAACTTATTACAAGACAAACATTTCTCTAAACACGAATAAATATTGTGTTACTCAATATCCTCTTGGACGCAAAGACAATTCTGTTCAGTATCCGTATACAAAAAATTACAAACTCTTTCTGTGCATAAATAACTTTCTCACTCCCGTGCTTGACCTCTAGTAAGGAAAAACTTAACAATTCCCACATTTTACGTCAGAAAATTAAATCAACAAGAAGCACTCAATTAGAAGAGGATGTACTAATTAAAAAGCAACCTCAAAATCATAAACAGGTCCACTCCGTGTAATAAACTCCCCCTAACCTCGCCCGTTACACTTATGTCAAGGTCATCCTTGTTGCTAGGCCGCTACTCACGCAACTTGCGAGAGAGTTGTGCAGGTGCGAACATCTTATTGTGCATTTGAGAGGAGAAAGTGTGTTCATTCTCGAACATTATTACTTCGCATCAAAATAAAATGCCTCTGTTCGTGAAACATTTATCAATGTGTATCCTGACAAGGAGGTTTGGATAACACAATACACAGACTTGCAACGAAATTTCGGGACACAAGAAGTGTTTGTTTCAAGCTGCAAAAATTCAAAAATTTTACTTGGTACTGTCGTTTTGCGAGCAAAACTGATTCGTGTGTAATTGTTTTGGGCTGCGTTTTAAATGGGGCCTTCTGTGTGTAAATATCAGCAAACGCATTTTCAATTTATATTCCTTTAATAATAAGTTTTGAAAATTAATCTTTAAATCTGTGTTCCAAAGTTGCATGTAATCTGTTGTGACCGGAACATAATGACAGTAATACTGAGGCAGTTGTAGCATATAATAGTAGTAACACTATTACGTATTTATTTTCCTGATATTTGATATGATTTTTATTCGCACTTAAATGTGCTGTTTAAAAACACGAAAACTATAAATAATGGTTTCACTTCCTTCTTCATTAAATACTTATACTCGTATAAACAAATTATTTTTAAAACTGGCTGGATGAGAGTGTTTCAGTCATATTGGAACAAATTAAGTGTTTTGGAGGTGTGTTCAATAGAAGCGAAGAATCTGATTCAGCTGTGGGACTTGGGATTTAGAACACAAAGAAATACAGAATTAGTTTTAAGATCCTTTGAACAAAAATAATATGTTCACTACACATCCCACTTCTGATAACTAAAAAATTACCGAACAGAATTATTGCGTTATAAACGATACATAAATCGCTAAACGTTCACTAAAGCATTTATTCCAAAACCACTTCCAACGCTGATACTTTTCGTAATAGGGAATTTAGCACGAAAACGAAAACTTTTGTTTAGTCAGTAGAAGACAGAAATTTAGGAAAAGTAGTTAGGAGACGCGCAAATAACTTAACATTTTTGGAGCGATCACCAGAATTTCAACTTTCACCTTTAAAATCGGCGCAAGTGACGTAAAAGTTGTCTGGGATCAATGAACTTGGACCAACGAACCTCAGTACCTACATGACAAGTGCCCGATTTTTCCTCGAATGAAAGTAAAAGGTTTTGAGAACTTGAGTTGTTTTACAGGTGTGAAAGATATGATTGTACAGCAGTGGCACTTGAATCATCGTATGAAAAGGGCATGAATTTAATTTTGTATTTATTTATTGCATCTAAATCCGAAAGATTTGATCGGTGTCTTACAAACGTTAAATTTCTTTGTTTATAAGGTCCCATGCTTGAATGATAATATCCTGAACAACGCAAAACGTAACTAAATACAAATTTACTCTCGTAGCAGAAAAAATACAATTATTAAGATCTAATCACTTCATAAAACACTTTCTGAAATTCCATTTCTCCCTTCTGCCTTCACAAGACTCTTATGCACTAGATAAGAATTTTACGTTTGGGATATGAAAGACAATTAAAAAGTTTTTCACAGACTGAACTCTTAAAATATGAATGCTTTAGGAAAGAAACGCGAACTCTTTCGTAAGTTCTCGGTGACGTATGATTTTAAAAATGTGTGAAATTATTATGTGTGATCTTGAAAATAAAATTATTAAAGCGTATTAAATAACAAATTTTTGAACTACATTTAAAAGTTAAATATATCCATATTACTGTGCGCCAAAACCAAAAATGTTACATACCATTAAAATATACATAATTTAAGCAATCTTATTATCTATAATTATGAGCATTATCTTGCACTAATTGGGAAGACTTGTAATATATCTATAAATTTTATCAACACTTTACACATTGGAACAGCATTTCCATATAATATTAAAATTCCACAACTATCGACGTCGATGGACAAAGGTGAGATCAAATTAACAAATAACAACATATGTTCCAGACTCTTATATACACACAACAAATAGACTTGCCTGCTATTATAACAGTTACGTGTTTTGTGGTAAAAGTCGCTTCAAGCTGTCCTTTCTATTTCGAAGAAAGAAGTAAACGAATTTTGGAATGTGGACATCACTCTAAAACACATTATTCTTGACAGTATTAATATTTGGATGCACATTTTAAGATATGCCCTATACATAACCTTTTTAATTTCCCCAAGCTTCCTAGGCAAATAGACTACAATAGTTCAACTGAAGTCATATCAGATCTATTATAGGCTATTACAATGTTTTTTCCGTCACCTAATTAAGGTTATTGGAATGGAAATGTTTCTAGCTTCTTATCTATACACCTCGTAAAAGCATTATCTTATTTGAGTGCATTTCTTACGTGTTAAAATAATTCATCCATGCGGACTTCAAAGTCAGAACACGCGTTGCCGCTGTTTAGATGTACTGTAATCAATAATAATGTACAACGAATTCAGCAGAGAAAAACAAATCAAACAATTGGTTGAAAATACAAACACAGACCCTTGTAATGTTCATGTCTGTGCGAAAGTAACATAAGAACAAGTTAAATTATGTAACTCTACCGGAGCACATTCTTTCGTGAGAATTTGACAGACGTTCACCTAGTCAACAAATTCCCCGTAGTTTACAAGACCCAAAGGTTTATTTAGTGTTTACAAAAGGCTATAATCAACCCCTGTCCAAAGAGAGAAAAGTCCATTCCACAACTATTCATTCCAAACACTAAGACGCCTCTTGCCGATAAGCACTTGGATTGAAGGATGTGAATAGCACGAACAGAAACTAAATACAATCCTGAAAAATTACTTAAGTAAACACAACATTAAATATATAAGAAACATTCTCATTTTTTTTAAAGAAAATTACTGAATAATATGTGTACCTAAGTAAGATTTCAGGTTCTCACGGAGGCGAGTATGAAGATGGCTGTCTTCTGGGTTTGTTGTGCCACGTAGTCTTGAATTCTACCAGACTACACGGCTCAGAAACAATCCGGGAGTCAGACATCTTCATTACGTGAACATATTTAAACACTAGTCCTAATTTATCAATTTCTTGTGAAGTGCCATAACGTTCCTATAATTATTCCTCGTTTATAACATTTCGACTCGCGAATCGATAAGAAATGATGAATCCAGCCCTAGGTTTAGAAAGGGATATAAACCCTTTTTTCATAAGACAGTCTGGTAATAGCTTAAGTAAAAACATGAACAAATCACAATAATACGACGTTAAACATGAGATATGCCCAATAACATGCATCACAAGGAAAATGAACTTCTCTTGTACTCATGAGACCCCCACAGAACGTTCACACATTTCGGTTGAACTTACGACTTCAGAAACTGAGCGTAAAGTAGAGGACAGTAAATATCACTTAGGACACTTTCGCATGCAACGGAAAACGTCGTTATGCTCTTGCATAAGACATGTATTTAACATTGCACGCTAATACTTAGAAACTAATATTTATTGGTTATTTTCCGATTTTCGTCAATTGGCTCTGTGTGTCATAAATATTTCCGCCTGTCACACTGTTTATTAAACTTTAATTAACGCGTATTAATTAAAATACTGCAACTTTTCCCCGTGCTTAACAGCACGTAAGTTCCGAATACTAAGCGTTAGTGACCACAGAAGAGACAGTCGCCTTCATTTCTGTTCATACCAAAGAAATCGGATGTAACGTAACTCGTTTCATTTATTGGGTTGTGTTTATTTGTTAAAATATAAAAATAATATTTAAATTTGGTGTATATTTGCAGTTTCCTTTTGTTCTTTTACAAACAATGTAAATTTTAATTCGGCCGTATAATGTTCATTCAGGAAAAGTACACATTAACGCTTTGTTTTGCAATTCTGACAATTAACTTCAATATCTACTTCCTGTCCTTCCTGAAGAACATCAAAGACACAAATATATTTTTTCGCAGACCGACAGTTAACAAATTTACACATTCTAATTGTTTAAACATACGTATATTAACACGGGTAATAAACTGAGTTATTACTAAAGTCACTTTACAAACAACACACTTACAAGAGAAAAAAATGCAGAGTTTGTCGGAGGCTGCTATAATGCAACTGTTAAGGGAAAGTCATTGTTGAATCTCTAGAAACATTTTGAACGTCCGTAAACAAACGCGTATATTTCCTTCTTCTTTCACTCATATTTCGATCAGAAATTTAATCGGGAAGCTGCATGTATTTTACAAATTCTGCATCTGAAATAATTCCAATCACTAGCCTTTGTATCTGTTCACGTTACTGGCAGTGCTAATTCATTTTTATTTTCCAGCATTAAACATCCCGAAACATAACCTCAACCTGTGTTTATGGAAGAAGTATGCGTGACAACTGATGTAAATTTCAGACATTACAGACATTTTATTTAAATGTCACTCTTCCATTTTTCTTCTAGGAGAATAATTCTCTGTGTTTTTATAATTGATATATAAACCATGTAGCGGTTTTATTGCAATTTCATTATCTAACAGTATTTGCTCAAAAAAGTATTGCCAAATTCTCACAGTTCACAATACATTCTCTGTATAATATCCGTCAACGAAATCCATATTAAAACTTTCCAGAATTCCGACACAAACCTCCAGTCAGAAAACTCCCGTAAACATACTAATGTCAATTTGTTACCTGTCACTCCATATTATCTTCAGAAAGGATATTTAAAATGTCGATTTTCAATATATTTTTTTAATATACATGCATAAAATAAACTACAGCAGGAGACGGTAACAGAAGAGTTGGTGTTCATATGGACAAGCCCACACACTTTTCTATATTGAGCCATTATAGACTTTTTTTAACATCTAATGATATTTACATAATTTTTACCATATCGGTCTGCAACACGGAGGTAATACAATTCGATAGAAAATCCTGTTCTGCCATGCCTCCGTAGGTGGTCGAAATAACACATTCAAGGTAATTAATACCTGATTGTTTCTTACATAACTGATGTTAACCATTTCAGCCCAACATTACTACTGCATACAAATCAAGCACTATATTTCACTGTTCAAACTGTTTAACATGTTTGCCACTGCAATTAAAATATTTGTTACCTCTCACGAATTCTATAAGAATGAACGTTCCCAGTAAAATTATTTGTATGTTCCGTAGGAATCACACACCATAACGTTCACGCCCCAGAAAAGAATAGAATTTTAAAATGAGTGCGGGATTACGGAAGCGAGGTGTCTGCCGGGTAGCTTTATCCTGCCCCCAGCACGCAGAGGGAAGCCCATTCGGATCGCAGCGCCTCCTCGAAGGCCACTAGCGCGTCTTCGTTGAGCTGATGACGTAGAAGCGACGTTCCGTTGAACGAGCGGAACAACCTCAGTTGATGCTGGGGGGAGGCCTTGGATCATAGCCCGGTGCCAGAATCAAGCACCTGCAAGGACTTGGTGATCACTTCATCCTGAAAAAGGAAGCAGGAACCATTTCGGATCCTGTAACTGAGAATTTTTAGCCGCTTTCGTAATTAAAAATCGCAAAAATGCACTCAATAGCTTCACCATGTCCGTTCGCATGCAGAAACTGAAGAAAGGCCGAACGGATTTTCGTAAAATTTAATACAGAGGAGTTTTACTGAAACTTGTGGTAACGACATTTATATTTCGTCACAAAAAGGCGTTTGACTAAAGTACCAAAATAATCAAATGGAGAGAGAATATAAATATGAAGAGGAAAAGAATAATACTTGGTAGGAGCAGAAGACCAAGGACGAGAAGGAGAAAGGAATTTTTAAAAGATCGTCCCATCTCCACACGTTTATCGTCACTATGCGTAAGTTACACAATGTTTCGGGTTTGGGTTTTATTCCCGTCTTCAGATGACTGACTGTCATTATACTGACAGATTTTGACCACTATTCTTATTCTCAGTGTCCGCTGTCATCTTAACACCTAATGAATTGAATCAACCGCCGTCACAAAATTTTAGAAAATTACTCGAAATTGTAAATTTTTTGAAACTGAAGTAGCAAACCTAACGAGGTGATCACCCTGATGATGAAGGCAGTATGTAGCTCTGAAACATCGGGCAATATGTACCAGACTACTCGGGATAACATCCAAGGAGACAGCCAACTTCATACTCGTCGCTGTGAGAACCCTAGATCTCATCTGAACAGGTGCGTCCTGCCCTAACCTTAGCACTGAATGGACCACTGCTCTGTGGACAATAATTGTGAAATATGCAACTAAAATCAATTTGCATAATAGCCCCGACCACCGCGGCATAAAGCGGCCCAGCAAAGGCGTTTGGGGAACGAACTTTGCAGGAAAGGGTTGGAGGGTAATGTATTTTAATGACCCAAATTGTCAAAGGAGCACTCAGTTTAAGTGTAAGGGTTTCTGAAGTGCTTTCTCACGACAAAGGACCGAAATTTAAAGGGTATGTTCTGTTGAAACTAAAGCATTTTGGTAGTTTCAATTCGCGAAGAAAAGACAATCATTGTCTATAATACCAATATCTAATACTGAAACAGGAAACGTACTGACGAATACATAAAGCTCATTAATAGGTCTCTGCGAGATTAATTTTAAGACAGATGGTTCTAAATCTGAATGCGCAAAACTTTGCTAATTAGTTTTAAAATTAAGGATCGCTCAGTTATTAGTGTAATGATTTATTCAGACTGAAGAGAACATCATATTTCAGTCACACATGGAAAAATATTGGCCTAATGTGTGACAAACACTACTCGGGAAGTGTGTTCTTTGCCCAGGTTGTAGTCGCTGACAAACGGACTACGCGTATCGACGCTGTCATATCTGCTACCACTGCAAGTATTGACTAAGGTTACATTTTCTACGTTACAGCCGTTGTAAGCCGGGCTGAAACTTCGAATAAAGAGGAAAAAGAAGTCTTCTCTCTTACTTAAGTGGTTCAGTGACACTCCACAAAACAAAACACAGCACAACCAATCAGATAAAGAGCAATTTTCGTTGTTTCTCGATGTTTACATTGTCTGCAAGCCGTCTACAGAATTCTATGGTGCAGGAATTTGACAATTACATATGGAAAGGAATCAGGCCTGCCTCGAGAAAACAGTGAAATTTGAAACAGGTAGACTAAGATGATTTATTGCCACGCTGTGATAAAATCTGTGGATAAAATTTGAACCACCTTAAATAGCGATAGTGAGGGGCAAATGTGGAAAGGGTAAGGATCGGAACAGAAGAAATCAGCGCTGGTTGCAGCTGTGAATCTAGCGCCTTCACACGAGAGTTGTTTGCTGAACTATCCACTGTTTAGAGAGGGCGCACTACTACAGAGTCTACAGAAAAGCTCAATCGATACGGCACGATACATCTGCTTCAATCACACGCAGTAATTCATTCGCTTCCTCGCCAACAACAAGGCTCGTAATATTTTCTAACCATCCACCTGAAACTGTAGTGGAAATGTTTGACTCCGCCCTTTACCAATTTAACCAGTATTTCAGATATTGGGCTATCACCATGATGACCATAGAGTGGGGTAATTCAGTCAGTAGCATCTACAGCAGTGGTATTCAACCTTTTTTGTTCGCGTACCCCCAGATATAATTTCTCTTCAACTTTGTACCCCTAAAATTGTTGGTGTATAATTCAAGTTATACATAATATATAATCTACATCTAAAATACATTAAATAAATTACATCCAAAATAATGTATTAAATCTGGCCCTGATTATTCAATTCTTATAAAATAATACTTTTTTTAAATTTCACGTACCCCCTAAGATGTCTTCGCGTACCCCCGGGGGCACGCGTACCCCAGGTTGAATACCACTGGTCTACAGCGACTAGACAACAACGACCAGACCAGGATTGCGGCTTACTCAGTAACGGGTTTATTTTTTGTCTAGGATAAAGCGGTCGGGGCGAAAAGCTAACCATTTACCTCCCTTCTTCGTGTTGCAGGGTATCCATCTATGAGTCAGGGTTAAACTGCACCCCTTTGATTACTTATTGCATTTATTATTGTCATGTAAATCCCTGGCATTTTTAGGGAAAATATATCTGCATTTTTCGTTGACTACTTTTTGGGCAACATATAATAACATGGCGATCGTGTGAATAACAAATTTTACGTTAACACCTGTAAATAGTGGATTGCATGAAGTGTCTTATATTCTGTCTTAAAATACGTTAATGTTGCACATTACAAACTATGTTACTCTATGAAACTTAGAATCTACTTGATTAATCGATAAAACCTAACATCGACCTGTAATGGCAGAAATTATGGACACATACATAATGAATTTTGCAAGTTACAAGTTCTACTTCACAACTCCAACTAGTCTTCTTGTCCATCCAGTGACACTTAAAAGAAATGAGACGTCATTAAGTTCTTTCTATAACTCTTGTTTATGATTGGCTACGCATTCTTCAGGAGCGTAAACCTTCCCCACAGAGTACCACGTACGTTGGCTGCGTGCCACCCAACACAGACAAATTTAAAGATCACTGACAGATAACAGGCTTCACAGTCACACAAAATAATACTTTCGTTGTCGGTATAGTGAACAGACATAACCTCAAAGACGTCAACAATTAAATGCGCTCCTGCAATATGATGAAAGTATTTCGCACACACCCTACTAAGTACGTTTAATGACAGTGTAATTACCTGCACACAGACCATGCGGCGCTACTCGTAACACGTCATTTGCCATTTCCAAAACAGCTGCCGTCATGTATCCCAGTTCCTTTCCTCATCAGCCAGCCATAACCTCAAATTTACAGCCGGCTGTGGTTTGTTACTACGTACAATGTTCCTGTGTAAAGCCCCTGTGTTTTCATTTTTATTTCCGTCAGTCTATTCTCAAATCTTTACTGTTATTAGTCTTTCCTTCTTGTCAAAATTGCTCTCTTCCATCTTTTATTCATATTCGTTTTATTTATTTTTTCATTTCACTCATTTCCATGTTGTCCTCGTTTTATAACCGATTTCCGAAAAGTTTTGATTGCTTAAATGCTGAAGGAAAAGTTTTTAATTTTTAGCAGTGGGACGAGAACTGGAAATATGCGTTACTTTCTTTACTTTTTCCTTCTATTTCCTAATTTATTTCTTATCCTATCTTTATTATAGCTGTTGTACGTTAATTGTTTGTCTTTGTGCCATATTCCACAAACTGTTTTATCTGTAGAAAAATAAAATAAAACACAGATCTTTCCCTGGAGCCATATTCTTGTATCGCATACTATAATACAAACTCCATGCTAAAAATTATCCAGCGTTTCGACAAGCACTACAGTTACCATCTTCAGGGTGAATATATGATTCATATTTTTTGCTTCCAAAAAAATTCTGATGACGATTTTAAATTCCTCAGATATGAAATAATGTTTACGATCTAACCACTGTCACATTAAACTTGTGTGAAGCTCATAATAAAACGTATGAAAAATGCGAGAACCAACGTTTCTGGTTTTATAACATATATATCATAAAACATCCAGACAAATGGCTCGGAACCAGCGACATGTACCATGACATGTATACGGCAAAATAATGATAATTCCGGCAGCTGGACACCAGCAGCGCTTTTGGTGGTTAATGTGACAACTACTGATATCAAGGTCCATCACGTGTCGGCTCATAATGAACCTCAGTCCATCCCAGCATCCCTGTGACTTGACAAAGGTTTCCATGGTTTCAGACAAATGTGTGTGTGTGTGTTACAGTAACAGCGCAGCTGGTTGGACTGAATGTACAGTCTAATTAATTTTTGGAGACCTCTGAGTTTTTACTGCGCAGTAACACGTCAAGTCCACTCTCAAAAACCTTTCTGATAGCTGCGTACTACAAATGTCGAGTGTGAGAATTTAGCTTTATGACATTATCTAGCATAAAAACGTGTTTTTATATGCTGTTTAACCATTGCATTTACATAACGAAACTTTAAGCCTTGCTTTACAGTGTAAATAAAGACGCATGTCACTAAATCGTCTAGCTACTTTTCTAAGGAAGGAACTTGGCTGTTTCAGATAAAATACGCGTGTTCCTTAATAGTTATGTTCGACGCAACTCTCGTCTAAAACATAATCAATGTCGTCTTATTTTTTTTATCTCCCTATGAGCATATTGACTATAAGAAACGTACAAAGTTAATCTGTCTCAAAACGGAATGTACTGAAGACACGATGGAGCGGGCGATAACATTAAACAAGGAGAAGAAGATAAAAACAACATAGTAAAAGGAGAGGAGGACTAAAGAATAAAAGAGTGTCCTGATGAGAAATTTTGTAGAAGGAGGGGGCGAACTGTGAATATCTCATTCCCCAGTAGAAACAGAAACTGAAGAATTAAAAGGAGAAGCGGAATTAGAAACACGAGCAAGAGGAGGAAAAGGAGACGAAGGGTAGGAAGGAGGAGGGGCAGTAGGAGACTGTTGAGTTAGAGAGGAAAAGGAAAGAGAATAAGGCAAATATGCTCTATACTGTCACCTATAAAACAATTTTTTCACAAAACATGTTCTTAAGCTTCATCTGAAAGAGAGATAATAGATAAAAACAGCTGAATAAAAAATAATTAAGAAGCACTGCGTTTTCCAGTAGGGTCTAATTGTAATTTAGATACGTGGACTTTTGGACGTTATCCATCGTCTAATGTTATAAAATAAAGAACGTTTCGAGGACTGTATCTGCCCTCGTCTTCAGATCTAACGAAGGGGGCGGTGATTGAGAGCTCATTCTGATGGGGCCTGAAGACTAGGGCAGATCCAATCCTCGAAACGTTCTTTATTTTATAACATTAGACGATGGATGAGGTCCAAAAACCCAACCCCATCCGAGATTCAAACTAGATATTGTCCGTAAATTGTTCTAACACTCATGAAATATTTTTCCGTGATATAAAATCAGATTCAAGGTCAAGGTAAAATCATGCAAAGATGCAATATGAACAGCGGAGCCCAGGCGAGTAAAGACAGTTCATAAGTTGCAGCGTAGCAAAGCAAAAAGCTAACACCGCTTTACTTGTAACTTATATCAGTGGTACGAAATGCTTTTACATATTTTCCGGGGGAAAAATTCCTAATGCAGTTCCTACGTCTGCCATTTAATGCTAGAGCTCTTTGGAATTGAGATCTTGTGAATATCCGAAACTACAGACTGTAACAGAAACTGGCTTCCTCGCAAATCACTCCACAGATGACCAATATTTCACACAAAATAATTTCAGTGCGTAGTCAATAAGGGGAAGTCAGAGTCGACTTCCATGATGGTTGATCGACTGCAGAAATAAATTAGATTAAGGAGATTTCTACCTTGAGGCACGACTCGATGAATTCTTCGATGGTAATAACGCCATCTTGATTGAGGTCTAATTTTTTGAACACCCGATCCACTTGTTCCCTTGCCTTCCGGTCATCTTCAACCTACAAGAGAAACACCACAAAAATGTAGAATTGCGCAGACTGGAGTTCATCCTACGCCTTCAATCACAAATTATGTCTGCCTTCTTGCAGCAGATCACTGTTTATAACTGTCCACCAGTCGAAAGTTCTGGGCAACGACGACAGAAGGCATACGTCCTACTTTGCCAGTGCTGCTGTCATTAGGCGGCTTTTAGGAGTATCCATATTTAACTACTCTGTAATGACTTCATATAACTAAAATGTTGGTAGTAACATAACATTTATCACGACAAAGAACATCACATATAACATCCATGCCGTGTGATAAATTCGAACCGGCGATCTCAGGAACAAACACAGTCAATTTTTTCACATCTTCACGGCATTAGTTACTGAGATCGACCGAACAGTGTTGCCTATGCATGAAATAAAACACAAATTTCTCTACTAACCATGTCAGCTGTGTACCCTTGTAGCAGCAGGTTGAGTAGTCTTCTGAGCATGTCTTGTGTACCCTTGTAGTTAGTACTGATGTTTCTTACGTACCCCTGTTATCGGTGAGTTTAGTAGCCCATTGTACTAGTGGAATCTGTGTTTATGGTGCAATACGTTATTATGTTATCATTACCTGGAACATGTAGCTCTGTGCTTCAAGGTAGATGTTATTGATGCACCTAACGCACTATGACGTAGTAAGAATGAGTGCCCCCAACTGATGGTGAAAGGAAACAGGACATTTAAGTGCTTTTCTTCTACCAAATTGCAACATCTCAGAAGACAGTAAGATTTTAGGTTTCACAGCGGTGAATACAAAGATGGCTGTCTTCTGGTTTTAGCGTCGTTTGAGAGGTCCCTGCTGCCTCCATCATCAGGTTCTCTCATCAAACGTATAAATACAAATTATTTTTCCCCGGCGAAACTTTTAATTTATTAATTATTCTTTTTCATCACTTTTCAGTCTTAATTTAGTACACAAATTTTTCTAAACCATGAAACTTTATTAAACTGATGATAGAGGAAGCAAGGACCTCTGAAATGTTGGTAAACCTCTGCCAGATTACCCAGTGATGCAACCAAAAAACAGCCATCTTTATCCCAGAAGACAATCCGAACAGCTGCTCCGTCCTTAAATCTGAACCTAAATGGACACAATGTTTATTTGTTCCTTTAATCAATAAATTTCAGTTTGTCATTTACAAAACGAACTTTTCAGTGTAAGATGCCAATGACAAGCTTTACCAGTGTACAAGTGTATTTATTCATTTTCCCTCACACAATCCGTAAACAAAAGCGACACTTTTAAACCCCTACGTTCGACATCTTTGACTGTGCATTTCATCAGACACAAACCATTTCCCCCAGCGCAAAAATATTGATGTATTAATCATTATTTTTCACCAATGTCTAATCTTAATTTAATACACCACTTTTCATCAAACTATGGTTTTAATGTCTTTAATAATATTTCATTCAAAAATATCATTAATTTCCTAAACCATATTTTTACCAAACCAATCGTCTTCTTCAAACTATTATCTGAAACAAATTTTACAGGCCCTTAATACCGATGCCCCTGTCTTCAAATCCACGATCCAAAGCCCATGACATTCAGTGGCCGTGGCTTCTGAGCTGGTCATTCCGGGCCGTTCACTGGCGTTTAGTGCACATCACAACGAATACAAAGCATGTCGTCCTCGCACATTCGTGTGCCTGTCATCCTGACATACCTGTTGCCCGTACCTTCCCGTGGCCCTCACCTGATGCGCTCGTCTACCCATCAGTTCGTGGATGGCCACCACGATCTCCGCGAGCTCTGCGCGTGTTATGCAACCATCGCCGTTTATGTCATACAGTTTAAACGTCCAGCGCAGTTTCTCATAGATCGAGCCACGGAGAAGAGTGGACAGAGTCACCAGTAAATCCTACAACAGACAATAGAAAGTATCTCAAACACTGGAGACTCTCGTTAGAACGAGGATCATGTTTATGCGAATAAAAAAAAGTATAATCGTGGAAAGTATACAATTCCCGTGGATTTTCTGAGTGAAGCACCAAGACAGGCTTTAATTTGTACAACCCGGAGTCGATATGGTGGGACAGGTCAACGAAACTGCGTGGCAGCTTCTGACGTTGCCGCGGATAGGATACTGATGTGCTTCATAATAACGAATATGCGAAAACGTGCATAACGAAGGCACGCAGAATGAGAGCCGTCAATTATGCAATCAATTATTGGGCCAGTCCGTCATAGCGAAGGTCATGGCAATAAAAGGGCAAATGCATTTCGACGGAAATGCCACCTAGTGATCGCCATTTCCTTTGTTGGGATCAATTCGTTCATTTTTGAACAACTGCACAAGTACTGACATAAAGATGATTATAAAGTTAAGTTCATCTAGTAACATTTCATGAGACTCTAAAACAATTTTGAAATTTCAATTACTTATTTTCAACTAAACTGAACTTCAGGGTCTCACCTCTTCAGTTACGTTGTATATAATGTTACCTTTAGTATATTACCTCTTACGAAAAGTGTTGCATTACTAATGAGTGGGAAAGACTGGTTTATTTTCGACGAGCAATGATTCCCTTCTTTTCGCCATCTCTTGCCCATTTCTTCCTTTCTTTTATCTTTTCGTATCTTATCTCCTTCCTTCTCTCATATTCCTTGCACATCCATTTTTATTTTTCCATTATACTTTCTACTTACAAAGAAAATCATTAAAAATATCGCCCGGACTACGTAAGATATTATTCCACAATTTATAATAACTTTAATTTCTAAGTTATAGTTTCCTTTGTTCCTGTAAGATGCCAGATTACACTAGATGCTAAAGCATAGATCAATGAAACAAACTGACTTTTCAGTTATTCAGACTATTATGTTAGGTCTAATTACGTTAATCTTTAACGGGATAATTGGCTCAGTAAGAACATAAAACAAGGCCGGATATTAAAAGATATTGCGTATATGGAATTACATGATCTGTGTATTAATGAGTTGCTGAATAAATTAACATAACTCAGAATCGCTGCTGCTTGTACGTGCAGTAAAATGTTTAGTTTATTTCAAGCCATTGTTAGCTCCGTTTAAAAGTGGCGACTTCTTCTGTTGAAATGGCATTTTACCTTCAAATCACAAATACTCGTCGGTTTTTTTTGCAACCATTATTTTGTAACACAAAAGTAGAAACATTCTAATACTAAAAGCATCTGTAAATGTTTTAGAGACTTGCAGTTTTGAACTTACTCTGAAGCTGATGGCGCCATTACTGTTAACATCGAAGGCCTTAAAAACATAGTGAGCGTATAAACTGGAATCTGAAACATGAAAGCAAAAACAAGAAATCTCTAAGGACGGAAATTATTAAATGACATAAAATATGTATAAATAGCGTTAACAAAAATTATTTGAAACCCCTTCGGAGTATTTAATTTTTGAAAGAAGCTGAACAAAAACAGAGAAATCCCTAGGTTAGGTTAGGTTAGGTTAGGTTAGGTAGGATTTCCTAACCTATTTTAATTGCTCTATTGTTTTAATTTGAGTAAAATCATATTCTTTTAATTATTTTCATGACATTTATTGGCATGGAAATCGTGAAAATTCCGTGCAATGTTATCTGTAATCAAATAATTTAACTTACTAGCATTGCCAGGAGTTACACACAACTGGCCTCACTATTTCAGCATCAAAACATGTGATACTCTTTGTTAATTACAGTGACAACTAGAATGGCTGTTTGTTTTTATCTTGTATATCTATAAATTTACTTGCAGCTAAATCTTAATTTTGAGAAACAGTTCACTTAAATACAAACTATCATAAAAAGTTGCAATTTCTCATTCATCATTCCACCCTGGACTGTAACAGGTTTAAATAAGCTTAGAAAGAGTCTACTGTACTGACTTTCGGGCCTGTATGTGAATCATCAAGAGGTGATAAGCAATGTCCAACACCCTCATTCCATTATTATTACCTCTCCTCTACCGGAAGTCATACATCACCATATCGCCGTCGTTAATTAAAGTACATAAATGATGGATCCATATTGCAGGTTACTGTTTCTAAATTTCCTCTCTGGAACTACATAAATAAATTAAAACAAAACCCTAAAATGCGTCAAAATACAAATGAATTAGACACGGAAGAATACACTAATCAAAAGTTTTGCAAATATTTTATACATAAACCTACCAGTATGTAAGATGTCATAGCATATTTTTAC